ACATAAGAAAACTTAAAATGCAGAAGGTTCAGTCACTTGCCCAGGATCACAGCAACCAATCAACTAGTATTTATTTAGCTCCTACTACATGCCAGGCAGTGTACTAAGGGCTAAGTAATACAAAGAAAGGCAAAAAACGGTCTGTGCTCTCACAGTGCTCATAGTGTAATGGGGGAGACAACAAACAAATTAAAAAAAAAAACCTAAACTGTGCAAACAATGTATATACATAGAATGAATAAGATAGTCTCAGTGGGAAGGTATTAAGATTTAGGAGGACTGGGAAAGACTTCTTGCAGAAGGTGGGACTGTGACTCAGACTTCAGGGAAGCAAGGAGGTGGAGATACTGAGAGAGAGGCATGAGGGGCACAACCAATGAAAACATGCAGAGTTAAGAGATGGAATGTAACGTGTGAGGAGCAACAGGACCGGCGTCACTAGAGTACAGCACACTTGGTGGGTAGTAAGGCGCAAGCAGACTGGAAGGGCCGAGAGGGACCGGGTTGTCAAGGGCTTTAAGAGCCAAAGAGAGCGTTTTATATTTGGTCACATAGTGAGAAAGCATCAAGACTAGAACCTCTGACTCCATCACCATGGCTCTTACTACTCTCAGATGTGCTTCTGTCTCTAAACACTAGTACCTCTGCATTTCTCATCTAGCTTCACTACTTTGGGGCTTTGCTGCCTGACTTCTCCACCATGCCCTGATGTTGGGTACTTCCACCTACCCTGACGTTTTCAGCTTCCTTATATATTCTGTCTTCCCCATTAGATTGTAAGCTCTTTGAGGGCAAAGATTGGTTTTTTTTTAAATTTTTGTGTATTTATATTCCCATGCCTGGCTCGTGGTAGGTAATTAATAAATGTTTATTTGATTTTGAGATAGAGGGCCTTAGGGTTTCTCACCCTCAATATCCCTCTTCCATGCTGGTCCACTCCCATGATGATCTTTTGGGGATGATCCCAGGCCAGTCATGCTTCACTTCCTTCCTGGCTGTGAGGACTTTGTCATAATGTCCCACACCCCAATTAAAATGTAAGATCATTAAGGGTAGGAACTGTGTTTCTTTTTGCTTATAGTTATCCTCAGTGCTTAGTATAGTGCCTTGAACGTGGTAAGCACTTAAGGGCTTGTTACCCACCTACCTACCATGACACTCTCGGGCTTCTGCTTCTCACAGACCTCTAAGGAAGGTTGGACAGGTTTCATTTCCATTTTATAGATGAGGCAAATAACATCCAGAGAGATTGAAGCACTTTCCCAAAGTCCCATAGTTAAGTAGCATAGCCAGGACTGGGATATAGGTCTCCTGCTTCCTAAGCCTAGGTCTTAATTCTTACTACATCATTTGCCACATAATTTCCTTAAAGTCATGAGATTAGCAAAGTGAAAATTATCCTGTTGAATGAATATCTATATACACATATATAAATATAAACACACATAACTGTATATATGTACATATAAACATATACTTTATATCCTCCAATTGGAGCTAATTTTTTGCCTTTTAGATATATTATTCCCTTGAGCTAAAACTAACACACTAATGGGCTAATGGTCAAACTCGGCCAAGAGCTATAAATATCAAAGATCACTAAATAACCAACATTTTAGTGCCAACAAATACTTATTTCCTACTTAAACCTAAAACCTGCATATTACCACCATGATCCAGAGTCCAAATGTCTTTGATTTTCTCCTTCCTGGGAAAGGCAAAAATCACTGCACCTTTAGAATGACACACAAGTGGATTTTATTTCCCTTTCTAATAAGTGGCTTTCTTTCTCATAATGTAGTTTTCCATTTGGGGCAAATCAATCTATATCACATACATCAAAAAATGCCCCTTAGATCTGACAGGTGCACACATGTAGTAGTATCATAAGCTCAGCCTAGGCAAAAATTAACACCATTCCTGCCTGGTACCTTTCTCTCTCTCTTTCTTTCTCTCTTTCTTTCTCTCTCTCTCTCTCTCTCTCTCTCTCTCTCACACACACACACCAGGTCACAGATGTCTTGATTCTGAATATGAGGATACTAATTTAAGGTTCAAGTAGTAAAAAGTAGTAGTTCAAGTAGTAGTAGAAAGAGAAAGTTGGTTCCTTCACACTCAACATTAGGGATCACTTGTCTCTGAGAAAGCTACGGGTTTTTTTTTGTTTAACATTTAATAGTTGCTTGCTATATTCTATAGAGTGTCAGATAATCACAGGTTTAGAGTTGGAAGGGGTACTACCAATCATCAAGTTCAATTCTCTCCCTTCCACTTTACAAGTTAGAAAACTGTGCCCCAGAGAGAAATTAAGTAACATTACTAAAGTAACACAGATACCAAAAGGAGCCAAGATTTGAATCCAGGTCTCTACCTCCAAAACCAGCATTTATTCTACCATATAATGTTGTCTCTGCAAATTGTATTTAAAATTTAAATTACTTTTAAAATATTCATAGACAAAAAGAAGTTTGGTATCTTTAGAAGTTCTAGGAACAGAAACACCCAAGCTGGAAAAGCGCTAAGATTCTAAAGCTAAAAGTCAAAACATAGACAAGATAGAAGCAGATTGGGGTCTTGGGGTGGATGAATGTTGGGTCTTTTCTGACTAGTAAACAGATCATCATTGAGGAGACTGAAGTTGCTACCATTATTCCCATCTTTCTTTTTAAAGGTTTATCTTGGAAGATGGCAGTTACCAGATGGAGCAGGTCCCAGGAAATTATAGAAAGATATCATCCAGTGGAATAATTCCCCAGATGCTTGCTGACACCAACAGAAAGAAATCCCAGATAAAGATTTTAGTTAAAGTATTAGCTTAAGTACTTAATTAAAGGTGTGGTACCTGAAGCGGCACCATCTGTAGGTTGAGTGCTAAGCTCTTAGGTCTTTCTGGTTCTGGGTACAGGATTAGCAGAGATGCAGCAAACTCTTTCAAACCTCTAAGAGGCAAAATAGCTTGAGGCCTTCTCAAGTCAGAAATGCTAGCAACTTGTAGGACCAAATATTCATAAGCCAACACTCAGATATTTTGCAAGGAATGACTGGAAGAGTCAAAGCGAATTCTCCACAAGTATATGTGCTTGTATTTATGTATATATGAATGCCAGACTAGAAAAAAAAATTTCTACTCTAGTAGCACTTTCTCTGTCCTTTAACCTCTTAAGAAGAGAAAAGGGGAAGATAAAAGATAAAGAATATTGCATGCACACAGACAGAGTACTTGGTATATAGTAGGTCCTTAATATATGCTTGTTGATAGATTGATTGGTAATTTATAGAGAAAGTACTGATGCACACATATATATTTGTGTATATATATATGCATCTATATGCACACATAAATATTTGTGTATATATGATCTCATATATATGATCCCATATGTGTGTGTGTGTGTGTGTATACACACACACACACACACACACACATACCCTATTTTGTTTTTTGTTTTTTTCTTGGCAAAGGTACTGGAGTTGTTGCCATTTCCTTCTCCAGCTCATTTTACAGATGAGAAAACTGAGGCAAATGGCATTAAGTGACTTGCCCAGTGTCACACAGCTAGTAAGTGTCTGAGGCTGAATTTGAACTCATGATTCCAAGCCCAGAGCTCTATCTATTGTGCCACCTAGCTGCCCCTTATTATTCATCCAGAGATTCTTGTAGAGATTCCTCACCATTCGGTAGTAGATACTTACATTACTGGTATAAAATCCTTGAATATGCGATTTAATTCAATACATATTTATTACATACCTACTAAGTGCAAAAGCACTGTGCGAGGTGCTGAAGATTCACAATGAAGAAACAACAAAGTCCCTGCCCTTGGAGAGTTTATAATCTAATAGGAGGACATGTGTAGAATGTAAAAGAAACCCAGACAGTGTTCAAGGAAAATCTGAGGAGGGAGAAGAATTTTTAAGCTGGAGAGCCTACAGAGGATTTAGAGCTGTAATGGATCTCAGCAGGCATATACCCCAATTCACACCCAAAATAAAATCCCTGCTATAATTTAACCCAACAAGTGACCATCCAGCCTCCACACGAATACTTAAAGGAAGGGGTACCTATCACCTCTTGAAGCAGCCTATTCCACTTTTGGACAGCTCTAATTGTATAAAAGTTTCTGCTGACATTGAGCCTAAATATCTCTCTGTTTGACTTCGACCTTCTGTTCTAGGATCTGTCCTCCATGTCCAAAAAGCAAGAGTCTACTTGATCAGGGAAGACTTGATAGAGAAAGTGACAGCTGAACTAGGCCTTCAAAGAACAGGAAGATTTCCATAGGTGGACCTTCATACACAGTGTATTTCAGACAATAGGCTTAGTTCTAGTAAATGACTACATAGGGACAGAAAAGTGAAGGATGATAGCAGAAAATGGCTTGTAATCTAGTTTGTCAGGAAGGTTGGGAGCATAGACAATGATAGTGTGAAAGTTAGGTCATATCCAAACTTTAGAGCAGAACAACTTGATAATCCAACTCTATTATGGGGGCACACATGTAATATTCTTTACCCTTTTACCTTCCCTTTTTCTCTTCTTCAGAGGGTAATGGACAGAGAAGGTGCTACTAGACTAGAAAGGAAATTTTTTCCTATTGAGATCACACCATGTATTCTTTCTTAAAACAACAGATATATGATAGATAATTGTGACATAAACAGAGCACTTACTTATTCTATGAAAATGAAAGTCATAACTCTTGACAAAAGTCATAGGAAGGATATAGTACATACAGTCTTCCATGCTGATAGATTGTAGGAAGGAAAAAATAGAACGGGTGAAATAGGGGGTCATTCTGCTAGAAGCCAACTCATACCTCTCTTCTCCACATCCCATATACTGTTTCAGAGTAGGACACTCCCAGAGACCTGCCTTATCCTAGTAACACCGGAACAGAGGTAGGCAGGGCTGTGAAGGACTGAGTTGTACAGGGCGCAAAAAGAGGCAAATAGCTCATATCCAGCCAGTCCCCCCCAAACACCCCACTTCCTTCAGTTACCTTGCCCTGGTGATCATGCTTCATTTCCCAGCCCCTTGGCAGCTCCAGCTGTTTGTTAGCAAACATGTTGAGGAACCCCACTAGGTCCCGATTATGCTGGTAGCGTTCAAAGTGGTGAGTGTCCCGCCGGACTTTGGTGATCATGTGCTTCAAACACGTGTTGTTTGTAAACATGCGATAGGCACTCTGGAAAAAAAAAGTATGAAGAACCAAGAATTAGTCCACATCAACAGGTATATTCAACAGAAAGTAAAGAAAGAATAAAGTAAAATGTGAAGAGAAAAAATTCAATTTAGCAAATTAAGTATTAGTAGATGCCCCCTACTCTGGGGCCCTCTTGCCATCTGCCCTGTTGATATACTTTCTGGACCACCATATCCTGGTAGATTTAATACACTCAGCTTTATAACTCCTTCCTGAGACTAAGAGATCTTGATTGGTAAGTACCAACTCACATATAAGCCAGTAGGATCACACCATGCCCATAACATGTTTCACATCCTATACTGTCTTGCCATCTGCCATAATGTGTTTACTATCCCCATCCTCATCCTCCTCTGTCAATCAATAAACATTTATTAAGTACCTACTACGTTCCAGGCACTGTGTGAAGTGTTGGGAATACAAAAAGAGGAAAAAGACAGTCCCTAACCTCAAGGAGCTTACAATCTATTGGGGGGAGACAATAAGCAAACAAATATGTACAAACTATATTCAGAATAAATAAGAAGTAAATAAGAGAGGGAAGACATTAAAATTAAAAGGGGTTGGGAAAGGTTTGGCAGCTAGGTAGAGAAGTGGATAGAGTGCCAGTCCTAAAGTGAGGCACACCTGCCTTTAAATTCGGCCTCAGACACTTATTAGCCGTGTGACCCTGGGGAAGTCACTTAACCCTGTTTGCCTCAGTTTCCTCATCTGTAAATTGAGCTGGAAAAGGAAATGGCAAACCATTCCATCATCCTTGTCAAGAAAATCCCAAATGGGGTCACAAAGAGAGTCAGAATTTGAATGTGTATACTATGTGTATACAATCCAGATTGCATGCCCTTTTCTACTGTACATATTAGGGCAGGAGAGTATCAGAGCAGTCTAGATGACAGATGATAAGAGATAGCATAGTGGCAGTAAAAGTGGAAGGGAGTGGATAGATATAAGTTATAGAAATGTAATTGATAGGATGAGGCATTTGATTGGTGATAAGTGGGTTAAAGAGCAGGAAGAGTCAAAATGACTCAGAGCCTAGACTCACATGGCCTGTTTGGTGTAAGAAAACCCAAGTTTCCTGACCCCTTAAATTTCTGTAGCATTTGACGTTTGACCACACTGTCCTCTTTAGGCCTTCATGATACTATTCTTCCTTGATTCTTATCCTTCCTGCCTGATGATTCCTTTTTAGTCTCACATCTTCCATATCACACTTCTTAACTATAGACTGATTCCCCAAAGCTCTGTCCTGGGCTCTCTTATCTTTGCTCTCTACAATCTGTGCCTTGATCACCTCATCATCACAGATGGGTATAAAGGTCATCTCTAGGAGAATATCTCTTAGATCCACATATCCAGCCCTAGACTCTCTCCTGAGTGACAGTACTATTTCACTGATTAGACATTTCAAATGAATGCCCTATATGCCCCTCAAACTCAACATGTTCAAAATAGAACTTGTTTATTTTTTCCCCACAAATCCATCCCTCTTCAAAACTTCCTTATTACTACTGAGGGCACAACCATCCTTCCAGTCACCCAAGTTTGCCATTTCAATGTCACCCATGACTCCTTACTCTCATCTCACAGACCTAATCAGTTACCATATCTTGCCATTTGTACCACCACATCATCTCTTGCATACATCCCTTTCCCTTCACTCAGACAACTGTAAAAAAGGCCCCTAATTGGTGACCCTGATTCAGAGAAGTCTTTTCTACTCCAGTTCATATTTCACAAAGCTGCTGAAGTGATTTTCCTAAAGCACAGATCTGATCAAATCACTTCCCTACTCAATAAATTTCAAGGGCTCCCTGTCTATGTTCTTTGAGCAAATACAAAGACCTCTGACACTCAAGTTCTTCACCACCTGGACCCTACTTACCTTTCCAACCTTATTATCCATTCCTCTTCACCACGGTCCAGCTATACTGGCCTTCTTACTATTCTTTATACATGATCCCATTTCCCATTTCTGTGCCTTTACACTAGTTTGTCCACCATTCCTGGAATATACTCCCTCTTCAAAGCCCTGATTTCCTTCAAGATTCAACTCAAGTGCCATGTTTTCTATGGGGCCATTTCTGATCTCTTCAGGCACTAGTATATTGCCCCTCAAAAAGTGGCTTTGTATCTATTTCATATGTGCCTTTATATGAATGTTTGACTCCCTTGATAAAATGTGAACTCCTTGAAGAAAGGGACTATTTCGCTTCTGTCTTTGCATGGTAATACAAAGTATTACACACAAAAAAATAAGCACAGTGTGCAGTACATAGTAGGCACTTAACCAATGTTTGAAGATTGATGTACTTAAAACTCAGTTCTCTTTCTATTATCACATAATAGATAAGGCACTGAACTTAATGTGAGGAAGACTTCAAATCCTGCCTGAGAAACTTATTAGCTCTGTGTACCTGGTGGGCCAGTCACTTCACCTTTCATAGCCCTAGTTGTTTTATTTATAAAATGGGAATAATAATAGCACCCACCTCACAGGATAGTTGTAAGCATCAGTGAGGCAATGCATGTGACATGCTTTGTCCATCTTAAAGTGATATATAAACGTCTGCTATTACCATGAGTAATATGCAACAGCAACTATACTGTGTTTATATTTAGTCTCAAATTCTACTGAGAGATCAAGAAGAATAAGGACTAAAAATAAGACATTGGACTTGGACCAAAAGAAGGTCATTAATGATCTTAGAGAGAGTGGTTTCAAAAAATCAAGTGTGAGAATAGAAACTCGATTTCAAGGGGTTAATAAGCTAGAACATGAGTAGTGGAGGGGGCAGCTAGGTGGTACAATGGATAGAGCACTGGGCCTGGAGTCAGGAAGATCTGAGTTCAAATCTGACTTCAGACACTTACTAGCTATGTGACCCTGGGCAAGCCACTTAACCCCTATTTGTCTCAGTTCCTCATCTATAAAATGAGTACATACTGGAAAAGGAAATAGCAAACCACTTCAGTATATTTGCCAAGAAGACTCCATGGACAAGTCCATCGGGTCACAAAGAGTCGGACATGAATGAATGATTGAATGATAACAACACGTGAGTAGTGGGGAATCACAGAACAAATAGAGTTGAATCATTTTTAAAGTTTGGCAGCAAAGAGGAAGAGAGAAAGAGAATCATAGCTTGAGTGGGGTAGCAGGGTAAAGGGAAAATTTATTATTTTCAGGACACCAGAGTCTTCCAGTATGTTTGTAGGCTTAGGAGAAGGAATTGGTAGAGAAGGAAAGGTTGAAAAATGCATAAGATAGAGAGTATGACTGATGGATCAGGATCATGTTGGAGACAGAAAAGATCAAAGTCATTGGTGGGTGGGTTAGCATTGGCGAAGACAGAAGCCAGCCAACTTATTCTCTAAGACCAGAGGAAAGGAAGATAAAATACGTAGGAACATTGAGAGGTTTAAAGATGGGGAGGAAGGGAGTAGAGGAAGCTCATGCTGGATGGCCTCAATCTTCAAAGTAAAATGATTCAACACATTACTTTATATATAGAAGTAATGTAGTCTAGTGAAAAGAGAGGAAATGTGAGAGTCAGACACTCAAGTTCCAGTCCTTATTCTGCTACTAACTAGATGTGTGACCCGAGGTGATACCTTGCTCAAGTTTTCATTTCTTCATTTGCCAAATGAGTATAAGTCTCCTACCTCCTTCCCATGAGCAGAAAGATCAAGCAAGATAAACTAGAATGAGAGAGTTCAGCTAATTGATCTCTAACTACCCTTTCTGACTCCAAAAGTTTGCTGATTCTATGTCAAAGTATTTGAAGTATTTATATTATTAAAGTATCAGGTAGTATTAGATTCCTAAGTAGAGTGTAAGCCCCTTGTGCAGGGACTGTTTTAATTTTGTCTTTGTCTCCTCAAAGCCCAGCAAAGTACAGATGTTTAATAAATTTTCATTGGATTTTATTGGACATTTGAAGCAATGTATGTATAAGGCAGCTAGGTGGCTCAGTGGATAGCACTGGTCCTGGAGTCAGGAAGACTGGAGTTAAAATCAGGCCTCAGACACTCACTAGCTAGGTGACCCTGGGCAAATCACTTAACCTCTGTTAATCTCCACTGGAGAAGGAAATGGCCAACAACTCTAGTATTTTTGCCGAGAAAACCCCACACAGAATCACAAGGAGTCAGACACAACTGAACAACTGAACAACAACAACAGCACGTATGTTACAAAGATGTAATGGCTACTGGTTGTTTAAAAAAAGAAAAAGTACTTATCTTGGTGGAATACTTAAGCTGTATTTCCCTTGACTTCTGGAGAGGTGAGGATGAGACGGTAGGTAGGTAGGTTCAGTATCAATACCACTACTTTTGGGAAGGGGTCCACAGTATTCAAATCGTTGAATGAAGGATATAAGGTAGATGTAAGGAGGGTCCATTGTTGGAAGCCCTGACTGAAAATTCCATCCCAACAAGTGGTCATCCAGTCTTTGCTTGAAGACCTCTAATCAGGGGAAACCTACTATCGTCTCTAATTGTTTGAAAATCTTCCCTTAGGTTGAACATAAATATTGTTGTTGAGTTGTTTCGGTTGTGTCTGACTCTTCATGACCTCATTTGGGATTTTCTTGGCAAAGATACTGGAGTGGTTTGCCATTTTCTTCTCCAGCTTATTTCAAAGAGGAGGAAACTGAGGCAAATAGGGTTAAGTGACTTGCCCAGGGTCACACTGCTAGTAAATGCCTGAGGCCAGATTTGAACTCAGGGAGAAGAGTCTTTCTGACTTCAGGCCCAGCAAGCTATTCACTGCACCGCCTGAGCCCAAGAACATAAATAGATTCTGTGATTTTCACTTGTTCCAGTTTTGCCCTCTGGGCCATGCGGGGAAGTACTATGCTCACTCTCATCAGGGGTCTTGAAGCAGACTGGATCATACTTGCTGGGGATGTGGGAGAGAGGATTCTCAGTTGGGTACAAGTTAGACTTAATGGTTTCCGAGGTTCTTTCTAACTGTT